CCCTGTGCCCAACGTCCCCTCTGTCCCTCTTGTCCCCCCTGTCCCCAATGTCCCCCTGTCCCCAATGTCCCCAATGTCCCCCTGTCCCCAATGTCCCCAATGTCCCCCATGTCCCCAACCGTGTCCCCAGTGTCCCCAGTGTCCCCACTCACCGGCAGCTCCGAGTGGTGTTGGGGACACCTGGGGGTGTCCCTTAAATCCCGGCGGCCGGGGAGGTGACACGGGGCAGGTGACACAGGGCAGGTGACACGGGGGTGACACGGGGGTGACACGGGGCAGGTGACAGGACGGGGACACTCTCGGTGACATCACCGCGGGACACGGGGCCGGTTCTCCCGGTCCCCACCCGGCCCCGCGTGGGAGGGGGTGGCCCGGGAGGGGACACGGACACGGACACGGGGACAGGGGGACACGTGGGGGGGCGTGGGGGGGGCACGGGGAGACGACACACCTGGGGGTGACGCACCTGGGACACACCTGGGGACACACCTGGGATTCCCCAGAGAGGTCTGAGTTTCCTTATGTGGATGCCAACAGGCTGCATTTAAACAAAAAAAAAAAAAAAAAAAGAAGAAATATTTCCTACCTTAAAACACAACAGAAGAAGATCGGGGGGGGGGCACGGGGAGAGGGAATGGGAGCAGTTTCGGAGGAGGGGGGGAGAGCTGGAAAGGGGCCGTTTGCTTTGCGACTCTCCCCCCCCCCATCTTCCCCAGTCCCCAGCACACTTTAAAAATGACAGCTGCTGAGGGTTGTGATTTTACTGGAAAAGTTCTGGGCCGGCTGGAGGAGCGGCTCGTGTGCCAGGCTGACCTGGGGCTGTGCCGGGGCCAAGGCGGGGCTGAGCACGGCCAGGACCTGTGCCGGGGGGCCCGCCTGGCCGGCGGGGTAGGGCGCGGCGGGCGCGACGCTGGGGTTGGTGCTGGGCGGCGGGGGCACGGCCCCCCCGATGATGTTGTCTATGGAAAAAGAGGGCCGGGAGGGGTGGTTGGTGCCGCCGCTGCCGCCGCCGCCGCCGCCGGCGGGCGAGGGGTCCGGCTTGAGGGTCTGGAGGAGGGCGGCGGGCAAGGCGGTGGGGCTCAGCTGAGGGTGGTAGAAGGACTTCCTGCAGTTCAGCTCGCCGCCCAGGAAGGAGGGCAGCCCCGAGGCGGCGGAGAAGACGGAGGCGGCGGCGGGAGGCGGCGGAGCCGGTAACGGGCAGTGCGGCGCCGGGAAGGGGAAGGCGCCCGCGGCGCCGCCGCCTCCGCCGCCGGGATGGTGGTGGTGGTGGGGATAGCCCTGGAGCTGCAGGCCGTAGTTGTAGCCGTAGGGTCCGTAGGCGAAGCCGGGCAGGAATGCGGCGGGGTCGGCGGCCCCGGCCCGCAGCAGCAGCTCGGGGTGCGGCGGGTGCAGCTGCTGCTGCCTCTTGAAGCGCTTCCTCCGGCGCAGGAAGCTCCCGTTGTCGAACATGTCGGCGGACTCGGGGTCCAGCGTCCAGTAGTTGCCCTTGCCCGGGTTGCCGGGCTCCCGGGGGATCTTGACGAAGCAGTCGTTGAGGGAGAGGTTGTGGCGGATGCTGTTCTGCCAGGCGGGGAACTTCTCCCGGTAGTACGGAAAGCGCCCGCTGATGAACTCGCAGATCTCGCTCAGCGTCAGCCGCTTCTTGGGGCTCTGTAGGATGGCCATGGTGATGAGGGCGATGTAGGAGTAGGGCGGCTTCACCAGCGGGTTCTTCCCCCCCGCGCCGCCGCCGCCGCTGCCCGCGGGCGCCTTGTCCCCGGGCGCGGCGCCGCGGGCGCAGGCGGGCTCGGAGCCGCCGGCGGGGGACAGCCGCTCCGGGGACCCCCCCATGCGCGCCTTGGCGGCCCCGCTCCGCGGCAGCGCCAGCCCCAGCGGATCGCCGCCGTCCTCCTCGTCCTCCTCCTCCTCGTCCTCGTCGTCCTCCTCCTCCTCGCTGTACTTGCCCCCATCCTGGGGCGGGCCCACCACGTCGATATCCGCGTCCTCCACCTCGGAGAGCGGCTCTTCCTCCGGGGAGCGCTCGGACATGATCCCGCAGCCGCCGCCGCCGCTGCTGCCCAAAGTCATTGTTGTGCGGCCGGGGCGGCCGGGGCCGGGCTCCCCCCCCCACCTAGCGGCGGCTCCCGGGATGGGCCCGGGGCCGTGCCGGAGGGCTGCGGCCGCCGCTGGGACTCCGCGCCCCGGCGCCGCCGCTCCGCTCCGCGCCCCGCTCGCCGCGCCGCTGCTGGCGGGGCCGCGGTGGTGGCTGCGGGGTGGTGGCTGCGGAGGGAGGGGCGGCGGAGGGGGCGCGGGGCGGGGGCGGGGGAAGCGGGGCGCCCGTGGGCCGGGCGGGGAGCTTGGGAGCAGCGATAATAAATAATGGTGATAGTGATAATAAAAGGAGAGAAAGAGGAAAAAAAAAAAAAA